CTGGCTCCGGAATGAATTAACATGGGAATTGTCATCCCATCGATTCGGCGCTCATGAAAGAAGTCCACCGACTGCCATTCTCCGCCAATCCACACCCATTCCTCCTGGAAACCGTAGAGACTTTTCGGAATCTCAGTTACGATTTCCCCAACTTTAACACCATGTTGCGGTTTCGCCCCGGCAAAAAAGCAACAAGACGATTCGGCCACCCTTCTCTTCGGACTTTGTTTAAACGCAAAAATACTCCTCATCTCGTCGCACGAAGGAAGTCCTTCACCCCTCTCGTGCAGCAACACCATCAATCCAATTATCTTTTTCCAGCTATTCGGCGTGATCTGGCACAACGGTAACCCCCAACTCCGGAGGTATTCCGTGATCAAGTTTGGCAACGGGAACCTTAATCCCGACCTCAAACTCTCCGCGAAAACGCCCACGCAACCCGGAGGGGGACTTGTTATTCTCTCCCCGGGATAAGGTGCAAAGATTTTCACCGAGGGGGGAATCCGAACTTGTTCCCTCAACATTACGACGTCAGCGTCGGTAAGAATACTTGGCTCGCCAATGAAATCAATCGCCGGATCGGGCCACCTCCTCACCGGTCTTCTCCAATGAGGCACCGCAAGGTCGGTTGCATTATGCTCAACTACCAAATCACCATCCTCGTCGTTTAACTGGATATTCAAATGCCTTACCAACGACGGGTCCCACCGGTGGTATTCAAAGGCCAACTCGACTAATTCTGAATCGTGATAAACATCCAACGGAACCGACTCGGTGCTCGATGAACTTGCCACCGCCTTTCCCTTTCCTTTCGACGCCATCGCACGATTGAACGAAATACAAGAGAAATAACAAAAGAAATTGAAGGAAAAGCTTACCGAAAATCTCGCACACAGCAAGCAAGGAAGATTCTTCAGAATATCAGATGAACTCAAATAACAAGTGATACGAAAAGCTCGAAAATAAAAGCACAGGTGAAGAAAACCCGATCAGATATTGCTAAACCCTATTTATAATCGTCAATTTGTGACCGTTGGGTTTTATCATTGGGGGCGCGTCGAACCGACGCGACCCCTAATTCTAACCGACGCCACCCCTTCATCTGATGAGACACCTACTGTTACACGTGGCTACCTATTAAAGTCGACCGTTACCTCATTTAAGACCATTACGGCGCGACCGTTCGGCCTAAACATTTACTCGTTGACCGTTACGACCATTCACCTCTTCTATCGTAACTGCTTGAAGATTATCCAAAACTCACCAAGTTTCTTCACCTCGGTATACAGTCTACACTTCGGACAGATGATCCACTTCGGTTACACCGGTAGATAGACCGAAGATGACCCACCGAACACCATAGACCACATCTTACCGCCGACTTCTTGCCGATCCAGGGTCTCTAAATACCTGGCATTGCAACATCAACGACCATCACTCCGTATGCCCATCGATGTTGGGGGCCTCTCTGTTATCATCCGACTCGGCAAGACACCGTTAAGAGGTTTTAAGCATCTTGTTAAATGCGATTAACTGTTAAACCGACGTGAATCAGAACCGCACCGACCTACACAAAAGAACCGGTCTGAACCACCAAAGACCGAAATGACTAAGGTTCACCGAGGTCTACTCAAACCGAGGTCATCACCTCCTCAAGCAGGTGACAAGGCGCCTATGCACACCCATCACATTCTACGAGATTTGTCATCATTCATGCGGGACCCACTGCTCCGAACCGCCACCAAAAGCTACTTTATTCAAAAAGTAGTACACGAATTCCAATGTATCCCCCAAAAAATTACTATAAATAGTGAACCCATGACATTTGTACGGGGATCTCTCTCCGAACTGAAAAGACTTTACTAAGCAACACGTAAAAGCCCATCACGGCTCTTCACCTCGGTTCACCTCGGACCGGGGCCATTGTCGAGTAAATCTTACATGCTTTACGTCCAAATCATTCACAATTATCCGCTTAATCATATATTATATCGTTGTTAAGAATCACATAACAACATAATCGTAAGAATTTCATTCTCTTATTTAATTCATGAATAATGATTAATTTGAGTAGAATGATTATGTGTGTTGAATTTATGCTACATAGTTGATTTATCGCTAGGGATAGGGGAATGATTGTTCTTGTTTAACGTGCATTTCTCGGGCTTGAAATTATTCTTGCTTTTGTGAGCTATTTTGATTAGGGATTGATATATCCTTGCTTGGTTGATTGATATAATCGAAGAGTGACACTTCGATCTTGCGATTGGTAACAATTGAATGTTGATTAGTCGAGTTAGGGTTTTGTTGATTCTATGTGATTAGTCGGTTAACATCCTTCTAGTTAATTAGCGACTTTAGAACCAAAAGGGAAGAAGTCGTAGACCTAGGCTCGCATGAGGTAGATGATGTCGTAATTGACTACTCTACTTGTTTTAAATTGAAATACGCACTTGTCGATGACCCGTCCCTTGTTACGAAAAGTTATTGGGATTGGGATAATTGACATGGTTGTATGCTCGAACTTGTTCGTCTATGTTCAATCCCTTGTTACGAAGAGTTATTGGGAGCGAACTGCTAGATGACTAAGCGAGAGTGTCAATCTAGAACCGAACAATGAATTGCCCGACTTTGCTAGAACTTGAATTAATTATCCCCGATTCCCTAGTTTCTCCATCTTCTTTTCATTCACATTCTTAGGTAGATTTACAATTTGCATTGCTATTCATTTCTTAGCTGATAATTATTCAATCCCCTTATCTGATTAGTATGTTTAGGATTTTCTTTGCTTTTATGTGTTATCGATATCAGAACTAAATTCCGAACCGCCTTCCTCGTGAGATCGACCCGGGGAACGAATCTTTCGATTCGGTACTCGGTAAAAAGAATAATTTGTACACAACAGTGGTCGAAATTGACGATCAAGATCAGAAGGGCAAGTTGAAAAGACAATTAAATTGCGACCGTTGGATTAAAGAGAAAATGAAGGGTCATCATCATTTCAGCATTTCATGGGTACACTGCACGAGGACAACACAGACTGCGAGGCAGCTACGTCGATATGACGTTTGGACTGATGGATTTGACAAGTGGAAGAGATTTAAATTTCAAAGTTTGAATTCGAGATCATACGGAGGTCGATAATATTACTCCCAAAGATAAGGGAAATTAGGCAGCGTGTCGATTTCATCGAGGTAGAAGCTCAGCAAACAGGACAAAGACAATCAAATTTACTCACGAATTGAGTTATTCTAACTCGACCAGTGTAGGGGGACTAGATGATATGGGATACCATACCGAGTCAACGAGACCCAAAAAACTAGCCACCCGAGCTGCAGGAAAAGTCTGCTAGTCGAACAGAGAATCCTCAAGTTGATGAGGATGCTGCAAGAAAATGTGTCGCCAATAGGTCGAGCGAGGGCCTTTGGATAGCCTAATAGAAACTCGACATGTAGGTATGCTGGTCGAAGGATCGACCTAGGAGACGGTGTGAGCCTAGCGGAGGGATACTATATCGGGTCGAGTAGACTCAAGAAACCAGCCAATTGGGCTGGGAAAATTGGTTGGTTGAACAGAGCTACATGTCGAACAGAATCCTCAGGTCAACGAGGATGTTATAGAAAGAGGTGTCGCAAATGGGTCAAGCTAGGGTCCTTTGATGGCCTGATAGAAACTCGATTTGGAGGTATGTTGGTCGAACGATCGACCAGGAGATATTGTACACAAGCCTAGCCGAGGAGATGATCGGCCTCACGAGAGGTCGAGCCTGCCGTATGGTTAGACTGTCTAATGAAGAAGACCAAATGATAAGAAGGATTGTTATTAAGATAAGAACCACATGTGAATAGGGTCACATTGTCAAACAAAATTGGGCAGTTCGAACAGTTTGGGCAGTTCATCCGGGCAGTCTTGGACAACAAGGTAACACCCAAGGGTTGAAGTGTGTCCATTTACAGTGACATTCTCTACGCACTCTATACTTACAAAGCTTTATATCTATTGTTCATCATCTTCATCACTATGGACTACTTAATCGTTTGAGTGCTAATGTCAGGAACCGTCCCGACCTATTTTGCAGGTCTACGAGCAAGTCAGATTCCAGATTCAGGTCGTGCGGATCAGACAAAAATCTTTTACACACCAAATAATAATTAACAAAGTTTTGTAATTTATACTTAAATTACTTTTATTTTTCATACACATGAAAAATAACCAGTTGTAATAATAATAATGATAATAATAATAATAATAATAATAATAATAATAATAATCAAAGCTTTGTGATAATATTTAAATTCATGTCATTTATCATAAAATTAAAAAAATATAAATAACAATAAATTATATATAATTATATGAAAACTAAATTGCAACGTACTCAAGATATCTTGTTGTAGAGATATTTTTGAAGGATTGATTTTTAGTTCAAATTGTTTGAGAAAATTAAGTTGAGGATTTAAGTTGAGGAAATCAACAATTTTTTTAATTGGTACATATATTTTTTATATTAGTGAATTTTCATCTACATCTATACTATGTTTGGTAAAACTAGCTATAAACTAACTTATATTTTATCAGTAATTTTCGAGCTTATAGCTTATGACTTATAGTTGAAAAACTAGTTTATATGATAAGTGTTTGATAAAATTAACCTAGCTGAAGTAAAAATTCCAACGAGCTTATTTAAAAAGCTACTCGAATAAACTTAGAGATATGCTCGACCTTTTTAAATAAGTTGGTCCTACCAAACGAACCTTATTTAAACATAAAAAAACTTATAAACTAACTAAATAAGCTATTTCTCCGCCAAACAAAATTCTTTCATCCTACATTTCAAAGTCGCTGAAATCTGATGTAGCTCCCAACAACCAATCAGAAAGAGCTGAACACGCAACACTGTTACCGTCTAAAACCCCCCAAAAAAAAACCTTGCAAATCTTTGTGCGACACATCAGAGGTATTCGACTTGGAAATCTCTGTTCATCGCGAGCTCTGCAACCATGGCGAGATCATATCAAAATTTACTGCTGTTATCCTTATACGCTGTAGTTATCGTCTCTTCTTTGTCGCCTCTATCACGCGGCGCTAAGAAGCCAGTCGGGGTGGCGAGGAAAGAAGATATCCCATACATCAAATGCCAAGTCTGTGAGAAGTTGGCCTCCCAATTGAACCTCCAAGTTCAAGCTAAACAAGCTGAGATTTCGCCTAGAAAGGTATTAATCAGCTATCCTTGAATTTGGGCCAAGCGGTCACATTGTGTTGTGCGAATTATTAACGTTGTGTGCCTCATTCATGGTGTTCTTTTTTTGAAGTTTTTGAATTACTGTGTTTTAATCTCATATATATGTTTGCATTATCTTATTGATGTACTTGTGCCTTTTGTTTCCAGCGTTTGTGTTGTGTTGTGTTGTGTTGTGTTGGTTTATTTGTTGTGGCTTATGTATGTGTATGGATATTGGCTACAGATATCGGAGTATCAAATAATAGAAATTGCGGAGAATGTTTGTAATCTGAAGAAAAAAGAAGCTGATTGGATCCTCAAAATCGATATCGTGGAGCAAGGTGATAAGTTAAAGGTAATATGGTTGGGGGCAAAAATCAGAGATATTTTACTTTGTGTTGCTATTTGTCAACTCGAACGAGGCTGTTTACTTTGTAAATATGTTGTACACTCAGCTTGTCGAGCAAGATTCGGAAGGACAGTGTAATTCAGAGTGCAAAACAGTAGAGCGGGCATGTCAAGAGGTGAGATTAGTACAAAAAATACTTCTGTCTACCGCTATAGATTAATATTGTGCATAGGAAGTTATTGCTAAAGGCATTGAAGGAATACGGGTTTATTTATAAAATTACGGTGTGGGCTGTTGAAGTTCTTGGTTTTTAGAAATGCCATGTTGTAGAAATGTGTGTATGAAAATTGAAGAATCGAAAACAATATCAAAAGTAAAAGCAGATCGCCATTTTTGCCAAGCTCACAGCATTTTTCCATAAATCTGAAAATCTATTCTGGGAAGATGAACATATTGGGAATAAAAGGAATTCCCTCAGCTCACACATGCTCGATTACAATGGCACACGTGCCAAACAACAAAGATAAAAGAACAGAAAATAAAAAAACGCACGACATCATTAATAAAAGCGTTAGCACGCTTAACAACTAAACAAAACAAACAAATAAAAAACTGAAGAAACCAAACTGCATGAATATGCATGAACATGCACGCAATAAATCCTCCTTGAACTTCAACATTTCAACACCCCCCCTTCAAGTGGGAATGTGGGGATTAAAGTACATTCCCAACTTGGACAGAAACTTCTGGAAATCAACACGGCCAAGGGACTTAGTGAACATGTCAGCGGGCTGGAGAGATGAAACAATGTGTTGAGGCAGCAAGAAACCATCTTTGTACAAATTGCGCACCACATGACAATCAATGTCAAGATGTTTCATACGCTCATGAAAAACCGAATTTGCAGTGATATGAAGGGCAGCACGATTATCACACCACAAGGGAATTGGAGAGTGAAGAGACAGAGACAGATCACCCCCTAAGTAAGCAAGCCACTGGAGTTCACATGCGGTAGTTGCCATAGATCTATACTCTGCTTCTGCAGAGGAGCGAGAAACTGTCTTCTGCTTCTTGGTTTT